ACCATTCCCAACTCAAAGAGAGATGAGAAAATGTTTTTATTCTGACTGTTCATATGCCCAGTTTAAAATTTCATTGCTTTGGATGAAGGGAAGAATTGGTGGTAAAGAACAACTTACAGACTCTACTACAATGCTTTAACTTTAAAGATGTAAAGTATTAAATTCCCAAAGAGAGATGAGAAAATGTTTTTATTCTGACTGTTCATATGCCCAGTTTAAAATTTCATTGCTTTGGATGAAGGGAAGAATTGGTGGTGAAGAACAACTTACAGACTCTACTACAATGCTTTAACTTTAAAGATGTAAAGTATTAAATTCCCTTGTAAGGTGTCTTTTGAACTAAGTATGAACACTGTAATGGAAGGACCAGGTGACAATAAGTGTTATTTTCAGAAAACACAAGAGGCCTTTTGAAAAATCTAGGACTGAGAATCACCACTTTTGAAAATGGTCACTTTCATTTGAAGATGGTTTTGTTTTTACACTTCAGTGTTTGTATAAAAGGGAAAACTCAAGATATTTCATCTTATCTCAGGTTTACATGTATAGCTTCAAGCTGTATAAATGGGGAAATCTTCGATTATTCTCACTATGCCCTCCTTGAATTATGGCATAAATAAATGCTATGGACACAGCTGCAGATAATTTTCACCCAGCTATAATGCTAGGTACTCCTTCTGTGTGCTGAGACCTTGGGGTCCAAACTGAGGCCTTTGAACATGTTATTTTAGTACTAAGCTGTTTTGGAAAGAGTCCGGACTAAATGGTTACTAGATCTGCTCTACAGTTCTAGCATGGTGGCATTACATGCAGTAAAGATTATAGAATCTTATTCCTCTCTGTGACTCAGGTCAATATGTAACACGAAGTAGACTTTCAGACAGATCTGCCTTTCTCCCCAAATCCACTAGTTTTGGATACTGGCAATTGTGTGAGACCAGAGAAATTGGTGGAGTAGTGGCAGGTATCTGCATAGCAATATGAAAGAATAATGAGGGAGACTTTAATTTGAGTTAAGTATAATCTCATCTTGTCACTTCTCATTTTCAAGCTCAACAGCCCCACATGGTACAAACCCAGTCCTCTCCTTCCCAAACCAGTTCCCATAACCTACATGTTTCTCTATCCTGTATCCATCAAAATGGCCTACACTTCAAGTAATTACTTCATTGATAATTTCTACATCCTTACCTCTTCCCACTTTCTCCACAACGTCACAATCCTCCAAAATAGGACTTGTGTATCTAGCATTTCACTGACACTGCTCATGTTGAGTATACTAATGACCTTCTCATTGAAAAGCACTGTGGGTACTTGTCAGTCCTTATCCAAGTGAAGGGTTTCATGGCCTATGGATAATTCCATTTTTTTCCAATTATCTGCTCCCTGGCATAAATTTCTCCTGCTTCTCTTCTTCTCTCTGTATACACACATTAAATCAAATAACTCTTTTAAAAGAGAACATTGAATAAATAAGCACAGCTTGTGTTGTTAGCAGCAACATCTCTGAGGTGCTACTCATCCAAAATAAGTCGTTATCCTTGGGTGATGTAAAAAGTGCTGATGTGTATGGAGGCAGTAGCTCAGGACTTCTCACCTCACAATGATTCTATTTAACACAACGGATAATGTCATTATGTGATGTAATAACATTTTAAAAAATATTTTATGTGTAATTGATAGTGTTCTTTAATAACTCTGAAGAATACCTAAATTACTTATTGTAATCCAATAATGTCATCATGTCCATGATGTGCTCTCCCTACTATCCTAAAAGATTATTTTGCTTTCCTTTAAGTTATTTATACAATGCTGTGTATTTTGCAAAGTGGTTAGTTACCTATCTACTATCTCTTTTGCTAGGTAGTAAATTCCTTATAAAGACAAGAGACAAGTCTTTGTTTATCTCAGTGTACCTTAGAGAATCTTGGATGTAGTAAGTTTTCAATAAATTATATCAAATTAAAGTGTCAGATAGTTTTCTAGAGTAGAAGCAAAACTTAAAAGAACTTTTACTGTAGTGAATTTCCTGTAAGTTCTGTGATATTCACCTAAAACTGCTGTAATTATTTTTTGGCAGCAATATTATTTTACAATCTTCTAATAACTAGGAGATACAAATCAGAGTGAGATGTAGAAATAGTATGACTTGACTTGTGATTTTATAGTTTACATAACAACTAAGTTACATAATCATAGATTCGACAGCAGTATTTTCTCCTGGTTACAATATATTCCTGGCTATTCTGGCAAATAAATAAGACACACACATCTAAGTAGCAATGAATAACAAGACTGCATATTAAAATCAACACAGCTTATAAAAGAATATAAGTTTTCAGCCAGGCTATGAAACTGTAACTGAATGTCCTTTGCACTGCATTGAAAAGATGCCATTTATTTCTGACTATGATTAAGGGGGATTTTAGGTGCCAACTTTCTTTGATACTTAACAGAGATTGTGTCCTCTGATTTTGTCTTACTACAGTTCTCATCGTCAGTTCCATCTGTTGATACTAACTTTGAAAAATCAGATAATGAAATGCTGGGTTTAAATCATAATTTTGTTTTATTAGTGTGAATCTTTCCTTTGTGTAATGTAAGTGGAGACATACATAAATGTCATCGGAGGTGTGTGGCTCGACATCCTGTAAAAGCCATGTCAGCAGGAGAACGACAACATGGATGCCTAGTGCTGACGTGAGGCCTGACAGCCACAGTATTCAAAAAAAAAAAAAAAAAAAAAAAAACAGTAGCAATAACTAGAGAACTGTGCCAAGCTGTGAACTGATCCCACAGAGCAGAAACACTGCTTCGATGTGTGTGTCTGATATTTATTACTTTTACAACACTCAATCAAACAAACAAAATGCCTTAGAATTATTTTGGTGTGACAATAAATAAAAGGAGAAAAAGAAAAAGTAAGAGGTCAATTAGTATTTTGAAAAGCATTGACTTTGAGTCAAAGAACATATTCATAGGTGTAAAAAAATGAATAAAAGGAACATTGCCTCAGTTACCATCAGAGAGCAAGTCCCAGTAACAGGATAAATGAGGCATGAACACGTCCATTAATAGAAGTTTCATAGCATCATGTTACATATGCATTGAATAGGAAACGTGAGAAAGAGTACTGGTTTGGGGGCAGGAAGGGGGGCGAATCTAGGTAAGATTTGAAAACATAATTACTGGCGTGTATTACAAAAGGAAAGACTAAATGGAGCAATAGTTATACCAGAATAATTATATAGTCATTAACATGCCCTCTTTCTTTCTCTTTGGGGAATTTTTTTTTCATTTAGATAAAAATGAATCCTGACTGCCACAGTATTTCATTTGGCAGGATATCAGGTGATTTATATTTCAAATGTGATCTCATCATCAGTTCCATCTGTTGATACTAACTGAGCATCAGTAATGTTTGAAACTGTGACATGTAGAAAACATACCTAAAAATCAAAATCCCTGAATCTGGGAGACTCACATACCAATCAGAAAACTCAGTAAATATGCTGTTATCTTGCAAGTGCCGTGTATTCATTTTAAATCCTCACTGTTAATCTCCCCAACTCTCTCCCCTAACTCCAGGACTGGACCGAGGGAGAAGAAACTATAGGCAGCCGTGATAGGATGAGCTCAGTTAATGTCAGACTTTCCTAAAGAGGACTAGAATATTTGTTTATGCTGAGCCATATAGTGAAAACATAAGTGGCTGACAGGCTCTCATCTTAACCAGTTCTTGCAGAAGAGCTGTTTATAGACTCAAAGAGTCTTTTTCTCCTTCTTCTTTCACATTACTATTGAAAACTGAGAGCTGGAGAAACCAAGATGTCCAGGCAGTGTTGGCATGAAGATGTACTCTCAAGGCTGTGATTCTGAGTCCACAGCTCCTTTCTTAACCCAAATACTAGGCCCTGCTGACTTCCTTCCACATGCAGAGAGATCTGGATCAAGAAGAGGGTAGAGACTATCCCATCCTGTCATGGAAGGCTGTCTTCACGTAATCTACACCCCCACCCCAAGCAATCTCATACACTCATTCTCAACCCTCAAGACCCAATTCAAGTTGGTTCTCCTCAGTGGTGTTTTTCCTTGTCCTATCCAGGCAGGTTTAATGAAGCCTTCCCTCGGGCCAACTCTTTACCTCGAGTACTGCTATCATCATACTTTTTAAAACTAAAGCGCCTTTTTTATTTGAATGTCTGTCTCCTCTGCCAGATTATGAGTATGGGCAGTGCCTCACCTAGTGGTTATTCAGCTCTCCCTCAATCTTTATCATTCCCCTGCCAAGAAAGGAAGATTTAGATAAATAATGCTTCTCCAATATACATCTGTCCACGTCAACAAACGAATCTCTGACAGTAATGGGTCCTCAATAAATACGTTGTACTGTTTCTTTTACATCTTCTCTTCCATAGTTGAACCAAAAATGTTGTTACTACCTTGCTCAAGGGGAGAGTCAAATAGTTCTTCCAAATGAATTCTGTCTAGTGAGTAAAACAACAAAAAGGGTTTATCAAATTGTTATTGACTACAGGTGGTGGTGGATTTTGATTTTGGTTTATCTTATCAAAAATATGTCTAGAGAAATGCAATGTTCTCCAGTAGAAAGATTTTGAGAGCTTGCACAAGGTATGGTGTTGCTACTTCAATCAATGTTTTAGAGATTTTGTTGCCATGAGTAAAGAAAACAAGAACAAGTGATCGCGGGCCAGCCCGGTGGCACACTGGAGAGTGCGCCGCTTGGGAGCGCGGTGGTGCTCCCGCCGAGGGTTCGGATCCCATGTGGAGACCGGTTCCCGCTCACTGGCTGAGCGTGGTGCAGGCGCAACACCAAGGGTTGCAATCCCGTTGCCAGTCAGTAAAAAAAAAAAGAACAAGTGATCGAAAATAATCACTCATTGTTTAAGTTTCTAGGCATTCAGTGTATATTTTGAAACATAAAAATGTTGGTGTAGACTCAGTGCCTGCATAAATCACCACTGGGGAGTAACAGTATGTTTCTAGTAACTCTTTTTTCCCCCCCTCAATAGGATACTCAATACTCCAAGCTATTATGGAAAAAGCAGGACAAAATGGTTGGCATGTCAGCGCTATATGTGTGGAAAATTTTAATGATGTCAGCTATAGGCAACTTCTAGAAGAACTTGATAGAAGACAAGAGAAGAAATTTGTAATAGACTGTGAGATAGAAAGGCTTCAAAACATATTAGAACAGGTAAGTCCTAGATTTTATATTATTATTAACCTAGACCTTATTCAAAATAGTTGTCCTTTGATTGGCTTCGAAGTCATTGTCAATATCTTTTTCCAACTTTTCATCTGGAGTGTGAGGTTTGGGAGTTTTCATTCCATGATTCATCTCTAGGACCAAATCATAATCCTTTGTCACCAAAGGCTATTTTGGTTCTTAGGTCTCAATGCATTTAGGAGCACTATTTCTCACGCATTTTTAAGATATGAACAAGAGAAAGACCCTTTGTGACTTATCAAGAGCTCTTGGCCTTCTGTTTTCAGACATACTAATTTTGAAGGTGAATGCCATCTAAAATATTCAAAAAAATTAAAATTTGTATGTGCCTTATTTAATCTTTAGAGAAACAGCTACATGAGAAATAGCAATATAAATTAGTAAAGCAATGAAGTGAAAGAAAATTAAGTAGATAGAATACTGTGTATAGTATATTTTCTACTTAATGTTGTAATTAAATATGTTTCTGCTATAGTGAAGATGGTTTTCAACTCTCCTCTTTAAACAAGAATCCTTAAATAAAGCTTTCAATAATTTTTTTATTTAATTCAAAATAGGCAGGAAAAGATAAAACTGAGTATTATCATTCATTGTGTTAAATGATATGAAAATACCATCAAATAATGGATAACATTTGCCTTCCCCCTAACCCGGCATATCACGATAAAGCTTTGAAAGGCTGCCTTCAACCAAAATTGCAGCAAATGAATGCCATCTAGTGGTTTTAGAAATGTTTGCGCATAGTTACCTGCAATGGTTGGCTGCAGAATACAGTAACATGATTTTTTGTTGATTAGTTTGTTACCTATAGTTTAGCTGCATAATTATATGATTTGGTTTGTAGTGGTAAACTTACCAATCTGGAGGTCAATTTATATGTATAACTTTAGTCCTCAGTTACAAAAATCAAAACCAAAATATATTTCAGAGATTCCTCCTTAATACCTGAAGGCACTGAAGTAGATGTCTTAAGTTTCCTTCCTCCACTGTATTAGCACTTGCAAAAGATAAAAGTTAAAAATATGCTGCATTTTTAAGTCCTAGCAAAGCTAGACTGTACACTAAGAGGAAATTACAGAGCATTTACTGACTGTTATCCCTTTATAGAAGAAAAAGCAAAACAAAACACTTGACTGAAGAAATATGCATATGTTATTTGGGTAAATATTAATTACAGGCCTATGCGTCACTCAGGTTTGTTCCTGAGGAGCACACGAAATCATTAAGGTTGCATCAATTCAAGATACATGAAAACTTTCAATAGGCATTTATGGAATCCAAGAAAAAACTTTCTCTTTTTATTAAGCCGTGCGGTCACTTCAACTCCCACTCTCCTTCCCTTCCATTCCCACCCTGTATTGAGAATTTGAGTTGTTTGACCTGAACAACTGATGCTTTGTAAATAACTCGCGATGAATCCCACAGAGCAGCCGATTCTAACAACTGCCTGGATTGCCAAGTTTCTGTCAGAGGGTGAATAAGGCTCAGAAAGACCCTCCACTTAGCACCTGTGCTTAAGGGACTGGAGTCTGGAGGAAGCAATTGAGTGCCAAAAGCACACTGACCCATTTCAGAGGCTTAGCTGGTTTCTAAGAAGAAAATCAATCGGCACACCGGGGTGCTTTGGATAAACTCTTTGAATAAGCCTTAAATGAGCTCTTGCTAAGGGAACTGGACATCTTAATTTTTTTTATATATCATTTCAAAGAAATTAGAAAACTTGAGTGTCTACCTTTCCTATTCTTCTTGCTGAATTCTTTTCAGCAAAGGTTTCTTTTATATTATGGCTGCATAGTAGTAATGAGATAGTAATAGACCTTTGTCCCTTTAAAATGCCTCCCAGGTATAAATCTCATAAAGTGTAACACAGTCTACTGTATTGTGAGAAAATAATGTACTCTTAATTGTCCCATAAAATTTTCCCCTAGGAAAAGCTGTTTTTTGATTCTGAACATGATTTTTTTTTTTTTTTACTATCTCTATTTTAATTCCTCATAGCCCTAAGCAAAATCACTTTTAGTGTTTCTTGGTGTTACTCTTGACTCATCCAAACACAAGAGCCAATCCAAACTTTGATGGGAATTTGTACATGTATCCGCTGTGTTTCAATATCTTCTTTCATAAATTAAGATAACAATTGAAAACCATTTCAGAGAATCAACTAAACCATTTTTTTAAAAAGTAAAAAGTGAAATGCTAAATAATCTTGATCAGAAAAATGTCTTTGAAAAAGTAACATTCTTTCAGAAGATGGTAAAATTAATACAATGAAGATAAGGGGATACATTAGTACATTTCTAGAAGGGTGGGCCCACATAATATTATGGTTGCATGCTATCAATAATTATTTTATTGACTTTTTAATTTGTATCAATTTGCAAAAGCATAATGAAAATAGCTCATACTGTAGTCTCGCAAAATATGTTAGTGGGCTACTGTGATTAGAGAAGCATTTCATCTTCTGTACAGAGTGTCCAAATTATTTTTATGCCACGAATTAATTAGTTCTTATAAATGCATAGCTATTTAAAATAGCAGTTACCCATATACTCATTCAAACATTTCAAAACCTGAGCTTCAGATCAAGTATTTGAAAATGTAATTCAAGGTATTTTATTTTTTCCAGCTTAAATTACACCATAAGAAAAAATGGAAGAATTTATGTAAATATCACCAACCTAGCCATATAAGGCAATAGAAACATAGCAAAACTACAAAGTTAGATTTATTGTTATTTTGTTTGTATCAATTCCAATTAAACAACGTGTATTTTTGGCTCTCTAAATCTAAGGGGCAATTTGACACACTTATCTTTAGAAGACTTTGAAAAGAAACAGAAAACTAAAAGTATTTTTTAAGTGTTTGCTGAATTTGTGATTAATTATTGATAAAGGATCTAATTTTACTTAAATTTATACTATGAGTTTACCTTAAAAATATTATAAATACCATTTTGTACACTAGTTTTATTCATCTCACCTAATTTTCTTCCTTTAACAATAAATCAATTATTTTGTAAAATAGTTTGCAATAGTTTAATATAGCTGGAATTAAATGAACTGTTTCCATGTCAAAATAAGTGGTTTATACTGGAAAGCTTTTTGCATATATTATTTTATTTTCATATGTACCCATTATTTTTAAATCCTAAACTCAATTACTTGCAAAGAGATTCTAGGAACCTAGTACCTTATCAATTGAACATGGAAGTATCAGACTTTGATTTCTGGTTGCAAAAATATGATAACAAACTTGATCTTAACTATCTTTTTGGCATCAAAATTATTTGAGCAAAGTTGCACTTAAGGCTAGAGATTACACATGCATTTTACTCCATGATGAGAAAACCCAAGGGTTTTGCAGTTAGATCTGTGAGTTCCTACTGTCAGTGAAACCCTCTTCTCATGAACACCCAACTCTAATCCTCTGGAACAGAATCGTCACAATGGGCAGTGGGATGGCTTGTACTCTCTTCCAACACGTTTTTTGTCCAGTTGACTTACCTACCTCACATGATGATAGTTCTAAAAAAAAATTAAAACATGAGTTTTTTCACTCTTTAAGCGATGGATAAGAAATCTTCAGTTGCTTATTTTGAAAAAAGTAAATGGAATCGCTTAATACCTATGATTCTTCTCCTCACTTTAGATAAAAAGAGTTGGGCTGACATGATCTCTCTTACCCTAAAATACTAATTCCAATGAAGTTTTTCTGATATTGCATTTGATCATGAAGCAGTACATAATTTTATACACAGAACATACCTTGAAAAGAAGCATAAAGTAATAAAAACCTCAGTCAGGTGGCCCTTTCTGGTTATTCATTCATTCTACAAATATTTATTCAGTGCCATCTATCTATGTATCTGTCTGTCTGTCTCTATACACATAGTCAGGCACTATGCTCTGCTGAAGATAAAGTGCAAAGCAAAACTGACACATTTTCTGTTCTATTTAATAACTCTTATCCAGTTAACTAAGGTGTTTGTTAAAATCCTACTAAAATGTATTCCTTATTTTGGAAATAGAGTACTAGAAAATGATCAAAGATCTCCCTCTACCTCAGGCATTTTGCCATGAATGCCAGTTTGTATTGAATAGATGACGATATCAAAGGTATTAGATAGAGAACTGGAACTGTATTGATTACATAACTATGTATATAAGGAGTCTAGCCAAGTATTTGTCAGGAGAAGATAGTAAGGACTGACTTTAGAGTATGCAATAGATATTGAACAAAAGAATGGAGGAGAATGTGGCTGTACAGTTGGCTCACAGGTACCTCAAACTGCCTCTTTATCACATACCTCAGATTTAATTGGCACCTTTTTCAGCAGAATTGCCCCTTTCACTATATAAACAGGAAAGTTAGTATACCATTAGATATAATATGAATCTCAGATAATTGGCAAAACCAGTGACCTTCCCTACTGTTTGCCAATCAATCAAAAAGCCTAAAAGCTATGATTGACCTCTCTGAGCTTATTGCATCACCAAAGGAAGCCAATAACCTACCTCAGGGCAAGATCGATCAGAAAGAGGAAAATTCCTCACAAACATAAATGTAGCAATTTGCACATAGGAGGTGAAAGGAGGACATGGTCACAGTTAACTTATTCCAAGCCCAGGGCTGCCTTCCATGTCTGGTACCATCTAAGAGTGATGTCAGTTCTCAGAGAGGAATTCTAGCAAATTGTCAAATGCATGGCAATACTGTTGAAATGATAAAGCCTGTTTATTTAGAGTCTGCATTCACAAATTTTCACAACTCAAATTAGAAACTGTACAAAATCTAGAACTTTACCCAGTCCACCCCCCCAAAAAAAA